CATACATACATACATACATACATACATACATACATACATACATACATACATACATACATACATACATACATACATACATACATACATACATACTGGCATTAGAGAGACAAACGTTTTTTTTAAAAGCTGTACTTCCCTCAATTTAGATGCTCATTTTTGTTTGGCTTTTCTGTACATATGCTCCACAATTCAGTGCAGAATAATAAGAAACATGAATAAAAAGGAAGGATAGCAATACCTGTGGACAGCCACATTAAGACAAGATATATAATATAAGTATTGACACAAAATACAAATAATCAAGTATATAAACCTTTGAGTATATGTAGATAGATAGACACACATATTAATTTGACCACTTTTATTTTGAATGTTGAGAGATTGACTACTTCCTGTGTTTCCCGGTCGGAGTTTGCGCAGTGGAGGTGGATTACGACCAGGAGTGACCTATCCTATCTTGGAGTTGGAAGACCGTAATGCTTACTTTTCCTTTTATTTTGACCTATATTTACAGGTAACGCGTTCATTTGTTGATGAGTACTTCTGTCCGTTTGCACCTCCAACTTGTTGGACGCCATTAAACCCATTTTCCCCATTCACCTGCTGTCTGTTTTACTATCGACAGCACTTCCGTATAGAGAATCATGGCTGGTTCCGAACCGTCAGAGAACCAGAAATTCTGCTTACAGGAGGTGCTCGACACGTTTAAGTTGTGTCTTTCGGACAGCAAAGAAGTCTATCTGGAACACTACGTCGCTGGATGGCGAGGCCTTATAAAGTAAGTGATGTGGGCTCAAATGTTTGGGCATTTCTTCCTCAAAGATATTGAACATCCATTCAGTAAGGTGTAATATTCGAAAGATGTTTAAAAATAAACCACTGAGGTAGCTTTTTAAAGTGCTAATAGTTTTCCAGTAGGCCTTATGGCTCTAAATATTTATTGCACATTATTGCAACATACATCCTGATGTTGAACTGCAAGTCCATGCATAGTTCCGCTTTACTGACGTTGCATTAAAAATTTTCCTCTGAATAGTTTAATGACGGGTACTTCCGCTTTTCTTCCGCTCATAAAAGTTATCAAAGTCCATGCCAAATATGTTAAAAATGACTAATTTCTTAAAGCTTTACTGCCCCTCCTTATGAGTCGTAATTCAAATTATTGTTCTTAATAGTGTAATCATATAAACTACTGTATTGTATGTCAATGTTGAACTTTCCTGGTCAGTTTGTTGTAGTAAATGTTTGCGGTTTAAACTGTTGCTGGAGACCCTGATTATGTTGTCACATTTTAGCCTACAGCCCTGTTTATTTGGTCTGTGTTTTGCTATAAATGCAAAATTGATTAGTTAATATAGTGTCAGGGTAAGGCTTCACAGGCTTTAGCTCCATCTCATTCATCACTACAAACAGTCTACAACATATTGGGCTGCTAGGATGCCATCATAAAGACGTTCTCTGGGAAAATTATACAATTTTGGAATTCAAACTGAAACGGCTCTTCCCTTTGGATCATTCTTGTTTAAGCTCATAAGTAACATTTGACGTTATAGGGGAGGTCAAGCGAACAATTTCTGAGCTGAATAAATAATATTTAGTGAGATTTTTCTGTATGTTTTCACTTCTTATGGCATAAAAACCCAGCAAACTGTCTTTTTGGTTAGTAAATTTTCCTTCTGTCCTTCATGAATTTTTTGACAATATGGCATGAAATCTTAAACAAAAGTGTAACAATGAGCTGTTCTTTTACATTGTCTCTGTTTTTGGATACAACTGTGTTAAATCTAACCCACACCAAAGCTGTGCTGTACACTTTGTACATTTTGATTAATTATACAAACATTTCAACACATGCAGACTTCAGTACTATGGTCAAACACTACACCTATGACATCTTTTGTCCTGTGGACATTCTCCCATACATTTGTGTATTTTTCAGACACAAATGAGCAAACCTGAGCTGTGCTGCCTTATTCCTTTTGGCATCACCTCCAGATAAACCGTGCTTGTAACAATCTTTTTGTTACTTGACTGTGTGGAAATCACTGCATTACCCTTCCCAGACTGATGGGTAGCAACGATTTTCTTTCCTCCTTGACATTGTGTTGGTATACATTTGAATGCTCCAGACCTGCCAGCACCCATTATTCTCTTTTGATTGAGGTGCTAACCCCTCCTATCGGTCAAATGATCACATTCACTGGTTAAAGTCTTTTTACTTACCATCAAAATTTCTATGGTAAAAGTAGAGCTGTACCTTTTCTTTCACACATCCTGCTAGTGTTTTTGACTATTCTTTTTTTATTTAAAAAAAACAAAACGCTGTGGTATAGTAATTTAAGCATAGTAATTTAATTCTATGGCAAAGTTCAGCTTTTTAAAATTCTTTTTTTTTTTTTTTTTAATGGAGTACTTCCTTTTTTATTACATTTCTTGATTGCACGCTGTATTCAATTTTGGATGGAGGCCTCTGGTGAATTTTTAGAATTCCCCATGTGAATTGAAGTGGCGATAATGTTTAGGCTCGCAAAGCTCAGAACAAACCACGCTGAGCTGTAACAGCAGAACAAATAGAGGGGTTGACACAGTGTGTCTGTGTCTGTATTTATCCACCAGGTTTCTCAACTGCTTGGGGAGTGTCTTCGGCTTCATTTCTAAGGATGCCGTCAACAAGATCCAGATCCTGGTCAACTACCTCAATGGGGAAAATGGCCCTCACTACGTCACCATGCAGTCCATGGTCAAATACGAGCTGGAGAATGACCTGGTGGATCTGACCAAGAGAGGTAGCCACTCAGAGTCCGGCTGCCGCACTCTGCTGAGGCTCCACCGTGCGCTGAGGTGGCTGGAGCTCTTCCTGGAGCGCCTCCGCACCAGCACAGAGGACAGCAAGACGTCCAACATGTGCTGCGAGGCCTACAACGAGTCCCTGGCCCAGCACCACCCGTGGGTTATCCGTAAGGCCGCCGGCATGGCGTTCTGCGTGCTGCCCGGGCGCGCGGCTTTCTTTGAAGTGATGAACGTGGGGACCCCCGAGCAGGTGGTCGCCATGCTGGGAGAAGCCCTGCCACTCATCTCTGAGGTGTACCAGATCACAGAAGAACTTTATAAGGAACACAACATGCTAGACCTGCCGTAGAGCCCCTGTACATGAAATTAAAAGCTGCGACCGGCCCCTGCTGTAGGGCCGCAAAGCCTGCTGCTACTCCCCTTTGATAATGCTGACATCTGCGTTATGTCCCATTCTGACTGATTGTAATGAGACACAGCGGAAGCCCCTTCATTCCGATTTTCAGCGTATTTCTGCTTGTTTGTCTTTGTGCCGCTGTAACGCACCCCTTTAAATTCTCTTTCCCTTCAACATCTCTTTGTACATTGAGTGGTTTTTAACTCGAATAGATAGGATGACAGTGGGGCACTGTTTAAAGATGATTGAATAAGTCATTCAACCAAAAACAAGCTGAAGTTTGTCATCTGGATGTTCAACAGGGGATGTAACCGTCCTGTGATTAATTATGGTCAAGTGTTTTATCAATTTCTCAATACTTCATTAAAGGTTGTGATTGCACTGCTTTCACATATCAACAGGGCATTTACATTGATTGAATTTGAAATGATTACATATTATTATTAAGATAATAACTGGCATATTGACACACTTTATCATTGTATCCAACTGTTATCAGAGAACACACAGTTATGTTTATCTTGTTAAAGGGTAGGATTTAAAGGGGATTTTTCTGTCAGTGTGTACAGATGATGTACAGGTTTTGGGGAAAGCTATTGTAGATCAACAAAATGCACAACAAATGGTTCATTATTTATCTGTACATTTAGTGTTTTGTGATTGTATGTTATGAAATCAAACTTTTTTTCAGTCAAAGAGAAAGAGTGCAATTTATTAGCTTTTTTCTACTTGGTTTGCAGTTTCTATTTTGATGCATCTGATTTATTTCATCATTTTGTCCTTTGAGTTTAGTTTTTTAGTTATTTTATAAATATTGTCTGTTGTATGTCACAGCAGTGGGGTGAGTATGATATTTACTCCCAATGGTAATGTGTCCGTTAAGTCCAGTGTTAATTAAACACGTCAACCACTTTTTTGGAGTAATTGACTTTTGCTTTTTTTTATTTTTTTTTATTCACTTAGTTAACTGAAAGAACCTAAAATTCAAAATTTGTCTTAAGCTAACCCAAAAGAGAAATCATAGTCAAGCAGTGCCATACAGTTAGAAAACTAGCGAAAGTCCGCCAATATATGTATATAATTAAATGGAACCTGTTTTTAATCGCTTTTGTACTTGGACAATTAAATAATTTGGGTTGATATAGTTAAGCTAATTTACGATTTTTATTTAGCTGCAGTTCTGGTTTCCACCGCCATGGACCTATCAGCTGTCATGGCAACCAGGGTGCCATGGCAACTCAGCAGACGCTTTTGTGTTGACAATTCCTGCTTCACGTTAAAATGTGCGGGTACAATAAAACTTTGGTTCGTATGATTTTCGTATTACCCTCGTAACCTCAGTTATAATCAAGTGTTACAACTGCTTGTGGAAATGTGTTTTCAGCTTTAACCGTGACGTATTTAAGCTGCATGTGAAACTTTTTCCGCGACTGTCTGAAGTGAAGAAAGAACCGAGTGTCTCCGCGGGCGAACTGTTCGAACTTAAATAATGCATTTAGCGAAACCAAACTGGTCCAAGGGGCGAAGCAAACCCGACGTAACTAGTTCCCTCCACACAAGTGAACCGGATAACAGTCAGAGAACACCGGTGTCTCGTGTAAACTGCGGGCCCGAGGGTTTGACGAAGGAAGGTATTCTCTACATGCTTCAACACCCGCCTGCCGGCCCACGACAGCCCTTTAACAAATACAAAGTCCTGCCTTCCATCGAGAAGAGACAGTCCGAGGAGATTCAAGGGAATGGTATCAACACAGTTATGACCAAGCTCGACCTGTCTGGCGACCCCGTGACCCGACCCTGCGGCCCTGAAGGGGAAAACTCTCGCGAGATTTCGCCAGCATCCAGCAAAGTGGCCGGTTCCTGTGGAGGCTTACTTCTAGCCGTGAGAGCACCGTGTGGGAAGAGGTTTCAGCAACTATTTGGAGCTTCGGACACCTTGTTGGAAGTAATAGCAAGTGCAGAGGAAAGGTACGGAGCCAGGTACGAGGGGGCGTTCGTCGAGACTGTGGATATACCACGCGCTACCTTCAGGAACCTAAATATGAGCTTGGTCCAATGTGGTATCCTGAACAGGTCGGTTCTGTGCATCACCGAGAACAAAGATCCCACTGGAGATTATAAATGACTTTTTAAAAATGAACTTTTACTACACTGAAGAAGAGGTCCTCATCTTAATACTCAAATGAAAGCCAAATGTGATTAATTACCTCTTCCTTGCACATGTCAGGGTGTTTTTAACTCCCTAATAAATACACCAGTTTAAATTAAATGATATATTAAAGATATATGATAACAACAAATATTGATCAATTATCATTATTTATTCCTGCTGCTACCAGACTGTACAACTCTGCACTTTAACAACTGCTGTGCAATTGTGTTATATTTATTGACCTGTATAATATGTGTACTGTGTGTGAGCCCTCAATGATTGTATATATTTTAATCACCCAAATCTCTACGCTGTGTTTCTTTCTTTGTATATTTGCTTGTTTTTGATGTACTTTATGCACCTTTTCCTCCTTTTGTACCCTAACCGATATGTGACCAGTGAATTTCTCCACTGTGAGATCAATAAAGCTCTTATCTTATCTTATTTCTTCCACTTATTTGGATATTTTCTTGAATTAATCCAACGTTTAAAGGTATGAAACTGAGAAAATCTCCCATTTCTGGTCTAATAATGAGAGAAGTGTTAACTTCAGAAGGCTAGTTAAACAAATAATATGGACTAACGTTATTTAAACTGCTCACACCTGATATTTTCCATTTTGTAAGTCTGTTTTTCCGTTTTGGTCAGTCTCTGATAGTTTTTTATTTCCTGCCAGCAAACCAGCTGTAGTGAAATGTGAATGGAAAAAGCTAGATGGTCCGCTTGTGTTATTGTTTGTTTTAAAAGATGCTGCCATCCTTCCCGTAAGGAGGAGCCATGGTGACCATGGAATTCTGGGCCTGTATTCCACAAGCTTCTTAGAACCATTTCAGATAGTTAGTAACTTTTGCTAAAATCCATGTAGTAGGAGTCTTAACTTAAAGACAGTTATTGAGGACCAATCACAGAGCAACTCTTAGTGAGGAAAAGAAATAAACTCTCTCTCATCAAGGGAAGGACATGGGATTCAGCCGGTCGCTATGTGTCAAACATGTTTTTGACAACAGTGATTATGTTTGAAAAAAATAAAAAACACATACTCAAACATTTGTGTAAAAACTCTCGTAAAGAGGTTAGATTTTGCTTCCTGAAATAAGGGGTGTATTTCCCTATAATCTGCCACACCCAGAGAAAGATGGAGACCATTTTGGCAGCTTAGCATGGAAACACAACACATTAGGATCACATTTGGTCTCATCTTGTTTGTGCAAAACGAATAAGTAGTTTTGGCTTTTATATTTAAAAATCTAAAAGTATTAAAAGTATTTGTACTGGTTAAGTAGATGATGATGATTTAGCAAACCAGTGATGTTTATCTAATTGGGTTGACAGAAAATATTCAGGGCTGAAAAAGGTTTCTAAAGCAAGTTTAAATTAAATTATATATTAAAGATATATGATAACAACAAATATTGATCAATTATCATTTCTTCCACTTATTTGGATATTTTCTTCAATTAATCCAACGTTTAAAAGTACAAAACTGAGAAAATCTCCCATTTCTGGTCTAATAATGAGAGAACTGTTAACTTCAGAAGGCTAGTTAAACAAATAATATGGAGTAACGTTATTTAAACTACTCACACCTGATATTTTCCATTTTGTAAGTCTGTTTTTCCGTTTTGGTCAGTCTCTGGGAGTCTTTTATTTCCTGCCAGCAAACCGTCTGTAGTGAAATGTGAATGGAAAAAGCTAGATGGTCCGCTTGTGTTATTGTTTGTTTTAAAAGATGCTTCCATCCTGCCCCTAAGGAGGAGCCATGGTGACCATGGAATTCTGGGCCTGTGTTCTACAAACTTCTTAGAACCATTTCAGATAGTTAGTAACTTTTGCTAAAATCCATGTAGTAGGAGTCTTAACCTAAAGACAGTTATTGAGGACCAATCACAGAGCAACTCTTAGTGAGGAAAAGAAATAAACTCTCTCTCATCAAGGGAAGGATATGGGATTTAGCCGGTCGCTATGTGTCAAACATGTTTTTGACAACAGTGACAACATTTTTAGGGCAGAAAATGTTTCTAAAGCTAATTTAAATTAATTAAAAATATATAATAACAAATATTGATCAATTATCATTATTCCTTCCAATTTTTTGGATATTTAATTAATCCAATGTTTAAAAGTATGAAACTGAGAAATCTCTCCTTTCTGGTCTGATAGTGAGAGAACTGTTAACTTCAGAAGGCTAGTTAAGGATTCAGAGAACTATTGTTTTATTTGAATAAGTCCTTCAGTTTTTGAAGGAAAAAACCTTCAAAATACTCAAGACGTTCAAAAGATGCTTGGGAGTATTATTCAATCCCACACAATGTTGTGTACCAACTGTTAGATGAGTTTAATTACAGTTCAGGCTTCATGCCTTTAGGTAACCAACAGCAACCACAATCTGACTCCTTTGCTGTTTTATCAAATCAGGACCCCAAATATCAAAATAAATATTTTTCATCTGCTTCCAGTTAATTTAAATGCTTAATGGTTGCATCAGAGCAGCCTTTGAATACCAATTACATTGTCATTTTTAGTTAAAGAGTTGCTAGATTGCCATTTAGTAACAACAATTCTGGTAAGAGCAGCCATTCACAAAAACAGAAATAATGACAACTGCTGTCCATCAAGATGCTGAAAAGGTTAAGTTATTACCCAGAGCAGATTTAATATGCGGTTCAAAGCAAAGCATATAATCACAGTCCCCTCAGATACAAGTTTTAACCCCATTTAGCAGAACCAGAAAATGATTTATGCTTGGATAATAAGAAAGATGCAAATTGAAGGAAACTCATGCTCACACAGGTATATTTATTAAAACACTCACAAGTAAAGTGCACAAAAAATGTATTGTGTTTAATACAGAACAACTGAATGGGTTGAATACTAGCCTTCTCAATCTTTTATAGCAGAATAGCTGCATTTCCAGCTTCAAGTTCAAGTATTTATACATCAGTTTTTTTTTTGTGTGTGCTTGTAAACAAAAATTAAGCAACAGCTTTCCAATGGAACACCAAATCAACATGCAAAGTAAAGGACACTTATATTAATTAGCTCCCACTGAGCTGAAAAGGGTATTTTGAGTCATTCATGCTTCAAATCACTCAAGCATTTAAATCCAAACCCAACCTCCATTAAGTCGTGCAAACTCCACAGTTAAGAGCCATTCTTAGATCACACCACTACTATAGAAATGGCTCACTCCAGACAATCAACAGCACTGCAAACCTTCAACATGCAAATTTAAGCGTCGGCTTGCGTTCTCAGAGAGATGCAGCTTAAAGCTTTAAGGCAACCTGAAATTAGTTTTAGAAAAAGAAAGAAAAAGAAAAAAACAAAAATACTCTCTGAAAGAGAGCCACCTGTCCGATCACACTGTTGTTCAGCTCAACAGCTTTTCCATTTCTTCAAGATTACTGGGGTCCAGCTTTGTGATTCTCCTGTCTGCGGGGGAAAAAATTAAATGCAGGTTAGGATCGGAACCCACTTCACTCCACGCATGATGGAGGGTGGCGACGAGCAGACAGACGTACTGAAGTGCATCTCTATTTGGTTGATGATGCCCATGCTGCGCTCGCTGTCCACCATGGTCACCGCGAAGCCTCGCCGGCCAAAGCGCCCCGTGCGGCCGATCCGGTGCAGGTAGGTCTCGTTATCCGCGTTCCCGTCCATGTCCACGGGGAGGTCAAAGTTCACCACCAGGGATACCTGCTCCACGTCGATGCCTGCGACGACAAATGAGAAGAACAGGGGAAAAAATTGGGCCGCTCCCCTGGAAACGTGGCCGCGTTGTCCACCGCCGGGCCCCTCACCTCTGGAACACACGTTGGTGGTCACCAGGACCTTCTCTTTGCCGTTCCGGAAGCGTTCGATCACGCAGGCTCGCTGCTCCACCGTCATCTCTCCGCTCAGCAACGCCACCTGGTGGCCTTCTTTGATCAGGTGTGTGGACAGCCAGGCGGCCATCTTCCGAGTCTGAAATAAGAGTTCAAGCCAACTGAGATTTTGGTTTATGAGCAAATACAGGTCTGTTGTGGCATTAATGGCAAAACGGCAGCACTCCCAATGAGCATGTTTCAAGACCCCATCTGGACCTTGAAATTGGAGCCGTCAGACATCACAGACAGCTGCAAAACACAACTATGAAGGTTTTCCAGCTCTTAACGACTACCTGTGAATCCATAATGCAAATTCAAGTCCCAGCGATAAGATTAGCAAACTACTATAATGGGAAATAGATCTATTATAGAATACATCTATAATGTACAGGTAAATCTAAATTAAATGCGTTTGTGCTCATAGCCCTTTTTATTCAAATTTCAAATCCATATTTATTCAATTCTGTTTATTTACTGGATTTATTTAGTTTTCAATCAACCATTTATTTTTGCTCTACAGTCTGTGTATATATGTTCCATAGGCATGGTCTATATACAAGCTAATTTCTTTTTTCAATTTTTTGTAAATAAACAAAAAACATTTATAGTGTCTACATGAAAAAAGCAAACGTAAAATAGTATGTTGGAGAGCCTTTAAAAATTACACAAATAAATGACAGAAAGTGTAAAAGGACTGATCAAATGAACTGAAATGAAAACATAAGGGGTTGAGACAAAGTGAAATTAATCCAGATTAAAAGATAAGTGAATTGAGCTAATTTAACATTGTATGTAGAGTTATTTAATTTCTTCGGCTGCTATTAGTGTGCCATGTATCTTTATTTTCGAAAATGGGACTCAGTTCCCCATCGAATTGACCAATATTTTAACAAATCTTGCTGTTAAACACAAAACTGTTCATGTCAAAATAGAAACGAGAGCCTGACTCCTGTAATGAAAACAGAATTTTCCCTATAAGCCAACAGCCTCAATATCGTTTTTGGAGTAGCTCTGTGGACTGTTGTGTCACGACCGCATTCAACAGCCAAGCTCACAGGCATGACACTTTCCACACAAACAGAACTGATCACAAGACACTCCAAAGGGATCCCGGGATGCCAGGATACCCCCCCACCCACACACACTCAACTCCTACTTATGGGACTTCTTAAAACAAAAGAACTTCTCTCAAGTAGTCACTGTTATGTTTGTCCCTTCTAGGATGCTATGGCAACATAAAAGAGGAGAGAAGAGGATTACTGGCTCTTTTTAGCTATAAATAGCTTGTTCTAGGGTACAGAGAACAGAACAATTCTCATTTTCACCCAGCTTCAATGAAAATATTTATGAGTATCACATATTTCTGCTAGCCGATGCCCATCAATAACAAAGACAAAATAGAACTTTTGTGACTGACTGCGAGTAGCCAGTCTACCAGACTAAGAGTGAACGATAACAGCAATTTTTAAAAATGAAAAGGAAGGCAGAGCTCAATCATACCGACTTACATGGCAGAAAATCATGGCCTGTGCAATGGTAAGGCTGCCGTACAGATTACAGAGGGCTGTGAACTTGTCCTCCTTCTCTTTGCAGAGCACGTAGAACTGTTTGATGGTGTCCAGTGTCTCCTCCTCCCGTTTCAACCTGATGATGTTGGGGTCCGGAACCACCAGCTCCGCAAACCTCCACACAGAGTCCTCAAAGGTAGCAGAGAAAAGCAGCATCTGACATGCCCTGGTCAGCAGTCTGAAAGCGTAGGACAGCAATTAAAAAACGATCGACCCGACAGAGCCCCCCCCCCCCCCAACCCCATTATCACCTTCCTCCATAGGTCACAGTGATCGGAGCCTACCTGTAAATCCGAATGCTCTGGTCACGGTGGCCCTGTGTGTCAATCATCACGTCGGCCTCGTCCAGCACAAACAGAGTGATCTTTTTGGGATCGATGTGCTTGTACTTGCTGCACCAGTCGAGGACCGTGCCCGGAGTTCCGATCACGATCTGCTCCTCCAACTTGACTCCTCGCTCCACTGAACACACAATGGCAGAGAGACGACGGTGACACCAGCTACCTGGGGGCTAAACATCATTCCCACCAGAGAGAAAGCACCCCACTCTTACTTCTGTTTCCACGAATGGCGTAAGCCAGTTTCACATCTGGACAAAACTTCCCCATTTGCTCAATAACTTGGCCGATCTGCAGGGCGAGTTCGTACGTGGGTGCGATGCAGAGGCACTAAGAGACACAGGGAGGCACATCCAAGGTCAGGATTTGAGAACACAATCTGATGCAGGGGATTAAACAACCAGCTAAACCAACCTGAGTCCACGTATTGGCTGGGTTCACGTGGCTGAGCATGGCCAGGGAAAAAGCAGCAGTTTTACCCGTGCCAGACTGTGACTGAGCAATCAGATTCTGCGGTCTAAAAACAAAGAGATTACACACAAAAAGTGATTGTAAAAGGAAATATTAGCATCTTAAACTTGATTGATCAGAAGCTTCTGGGCTTAAAATTGAGGACAATATGTCCGTTTCTTATTCCATGATCTGAGAATATGCTTCTTCTCTGGGAGTTTTATGTTTTTGTAAGATTACATTTTCCTGCTGCTTATGAAATGAAGTGTCTTTCAGCTTTGGGATTTATCAATTTCATATTTGATATACACATGTTACATTCGTTTCCCAGGGCAATGACAAATTAATTAAGGTTGGTGCATTAAATGCACCTTTATTGCTGATCCTCCCACTTTGAGAACTAAAATAAGTACATTTTTCTCAATAAAAAGGACTTTGATTTTATTAGACCGTTTCACCCATCAGGTTACTCATTTGGCTCTGCTTCATTAAGGTAAAGATGAACTCACGGCTGTGCCATCATCATAGGTAACGCATTTTCCTGGATTCTGGATGGTCTGTTGAAGCCCATGTTGTACACACCTTTCAACAGTTCTGGTTTCCTGACAAGCATGGGATGAGCATAGTTTGATAAAAGAAGACATTAATAAACAAGGTTTTTTTTGCTTTTGCTCATCTTAATTGAGAAGCAGGTTAAAAACCAGCAACGTTCTTCCTGAACTCACAGTCTGAGCTCCTCGAACGTCTTGACGGAGTACAGGGGGGAGGTGGGGTCAGCCTGCAGGACCTCCACCTGGTGTCTGCTCCTCACCAGAGAGCGCCGGATCAGTTTATTCAGCAGGGACTGCTCGGCCAGGTCCGGTTTGTCCCCGTCTGGCGCTTTCCAGCCTCCATTATCAGGTCTCTGTGTCACTATGTTGCCTGTGTGTGAGAGCACCACGACAGAGCGCGTGAGCAAAGGCCCGTGTTGCCATTAGTTTGTAGGGACTGCACATGACCAAATCCAAATAAGGACGTTACCATTTATGTCTCCTTTCATGTTACACTTATCGCGAAGTCGACTCAATTTCTGTGATAAGTCAAACTGCAGAGAGAAAACAAAGTTTCTCAAGTTATTTGGTTAAAAACGAACAGACAAAAATTTTCAGTTAGCATAGTTAATAGGCAGGCAGGAACAATTAAGCTAGCAAGTGCCCGTTTTGCGGGTGTCGTTATGAGCTACCAGGTCGTCACCTTTAAAACTTACCTGAGAGGATGGAGCCGTAGCCTCCTGAACGTCAACGGCTTGCGCCCACGAGTCTTCGGACATGTTGAAATATTAATCGTCTTCTGGGGTCGACGCAGAGGAAACTTTTTGTAAAAGTTTGATGGCGTGAACTAGGTGCGTGAACTTAGCACCGTCACGAACCAACCGCAATTCTCTGGACCGCTAGTGCTGCCTTCAATATTTTCGGAAATACCTTATTTTCAGACGAGATTAAGAAAAAAATAAAACGGCAATACATTGGTGACTATCGGAATTGTGCGAGCAAATGCTATCCGTTGTCGTGCACTGGAGTGCAAATGTCGGGGGAGCTTTAAATTTATATGCCGTCCTGAGTGTCAGTTGAATTACAACAAAATGTTTGTTCCTTTCATTATGCGGGATAGGATGCTTACAGTATTTTCTAAGGTCACCATGCGGGTCGTATTAGCTCTACTTGCTGTGCTAGAAATCAATGTAACACATTTGAGTCCACGTGAAAACCCGTAGACTATAGGTTTTGTACATTTACCAACTTCATCAACAATACCTGAAGGCAACATGAGATGTCCTCCATATTTGGTGAGTGAACCTGTTGACACACCCGTTACAGAGGATGCGCACTCAACTCCCCCAAAGGGTCACTTTAGAATAGCTCTATACAATTAGGCATCTTTATTGTAATATTGGTATATTGCGTAGACTATGTTTTCGTGATTCTTTAAAGTTTCAGACTAAATATAAACTACAATCTATTCTACAAAGCGTAACCTATGTCATGAAGTATTGGCTTCCAATTGGTTGAAATTAATTAATCTTTGTCATGGGGGTGCTGCTACATATTTCAAAAAGTATTATATACATATTTTTGCGTTTAATTACAAAATAATACAAATAATACAAAACATAAATCGTTTATTATTAACCCACCTTTTTGATTGAGCATTTGAGTTCTCATTTAGTCCACAAAAACAAACTTTTTTACGTCGTAAGATTGTTTGTTGAGTTATCCTAGGAATTTCAGTCTGCATGGCTGTCAATAACATTTTTCAACCTTTTAACCTATTCGGTTTTTAGTCCTCGGAGTTATGCCAAACAAAAATAAAAAGTAATTGCTATTGAAAAATCGCTTCATCTTTCTCCATCGAGTGAATCCAAACCAGAAGCGAGCATCGCACGGAAAAAAAACACAATTTCGGATGTAATAAGGACTTCAGAAATTCATAGCATGCTGAATTACTGTATGACGAATCAGCCCAGTACCAGACAAGAATGATTCTTTTCAAAGTCTCTCACATGTGTGAAGTTTCAACTTTTGATGCTTAATGCATAATGGTTCTGGACTTTATGCCCCCAGAAGATTAACTGAGGAAATTATGGGAAGAAAAACCCTCTTTAGAATTGAGTGGACTTTTCTATCTTTTGAATAAGGGTGTGTGTAGCCTACGTGTGAGAGAAACAGAGAGAGTGAGAGAGATTGGGATGAGACAGGGAGGGAGGAGGTTGTTGGCTGCAGGTTAATTCAATTTAGAGGCGGATGTTGAGATTCAGCCAACACACACACACGCACACACACAGACACACACCAGCTCTCTTGGGCGCAGACAGAAGCCCACATCATCACAACAGCACCGAAATGATTTTTCAAATACACATTAATTGTCATGGAAACCCCGCAAGGAAAACAGGGCGGATGAAACCCAGAAGCTGATCACAAGAAACACCCCCCGATGGATAAAAAAAAAAAAAGGCTTCCTCTTATAGCCACGAAAATAGACAGATCACAGGTGTTAAGAGGGGGCGTGCATTGTACCCTCTCCCACCCATGGAACACACTGATCATCTGCAACACACACACACAGAAAAAAGGATACCTGAATGGTTCGTGTGAGTGGGTGGAGGTGATGGACCCTTCGCTTAGACACCTCACCCCCCCCCCAAACTCCAGCATCCACGCAGGAAGGAGAGGGGGTGGATTGGTTGGGGGGGGGTTGGAGGGAGGGGAGGGGTGGGGAGGGGGTGCTGGCAGAATAAAGGAAACAGTTCTTGCAACCACATGTTGCTGCATCGAACCAACCACCGCAGCGGTCAGCAATCTCCTGCCCTCTCTCCTGTCCTCTCTCCATCCGAATCATGACGCGCGTGTAGCTCCTGCCACCTGTGGCAGCACTCCTGCTCGCAGGAGAGAGGGAGAACAAAAAGAAAAAGAAAGAGAAGGGGAGGAGAAAAAAAAAAGAAAAAAGCAGAACCGACAGAGGAGAGGTCGGAGAGAGGAGGGGATATCTTTTCATGACAAGTGGACTTCTGACACACACAGAGAGATCCTGGCTGCAGTTTGACTGACACACATGAAAAGGTAAGATGCTGGGGGTGGGGGGGGATGAAGGGATGGGGGGGGGTTGGGGGTTGCAGCTGGATTCTGACGCTGCGTCGTGCGCCTTTGGCGCTGCCTCATTAGAAACATCCTCTCTGTCATTTGTTTTAACCAAAGAAAAAGGTCAGGCTTTTTTTTTTTTGACGGGGGGGGGGGGGGGGGGGTAGCATTGGTGATGGGAGCTGGGGATCCAGAGGCGGTGTGTCCACAGGTGGTCACACGGCACAATTTGGCTGCCCGTTTGGACACAAACGAGCGCGGAAGAAGTGCAACAGCGCAGGTGGAAAAATCTGCTCAGAGTTGATGTTTTTGATGCTCTTTTGGCAAAACCCCGAGGGGGGGCAGAGTGATCCGTGCGTGCAGAGAGGCAGCTTGGGACTGCCACTTTCGTCTCTAATTACTATAAACCCACAGACTGCGCACAGAAAGGCGCCTCCCACGTCGCTTTTTCCAAGCAAAAGTTTTGCAGACCTGTTGCCCTCTTTAGTTTAAACGGATCTTTCTCCATTTAATTTCTTTTGGCAGCCATATGCTGAATGTAGGCGGGTGTCTTGCAGATCAGCTGCAACTATCTTTTCTCCAAGTCGGTGTTTTCTAAGAGGAAATTGTTCCCATCCAGGGACAAATCTGCGTAATCCTGTTGTTTTTCTGGCTGTGTTTGACTGGACACATGATGGCACTGTTGAGATAGACAGCCAAACAGTCTAATTGCTATGTGTACGACTTTTTTTTCCTCGCCATAAAAGCGACATATGGTGCCTAAATCTCCTCTGATTCTTTATTACCGCTGATTAAAATTTGTTACTGAGAACTGTGTGGAAATTTTGCCTCAATATCTTCATTTTTTTTATTTACATAAGTGATATTTTTCCTTTTTTCTGACATAAATTACTCTTAGAAATAGAGGAAAATAGAAATGATCATCATCAGAAATAATTAAGAATCAACCGGGATCAGTCTCAGTATCCTGCTTACACACACACACACACATGTTGGAGGTGTTATGGCCAGTATGGAGGGAAAGCAGGTGAGCAGGGAGAGCTGTCTCTATGGATATTGCTTTCGTCATAACGTTTCCAATCAAGCCTGAGCCGGGGCTCTCGGCCATGCAGCAGACGCAGACCCCTGACAGCACAACCGAGACTGCTGGTGCAGGAGAGTGCACCAACCATGAGGCGCATGGCGTAGAAACCAGTTATTTAGTCTGTTCTCCATATTAATTACTGAGATAATTGGTGCAATTGTGTTCACCCCTGAGCATTTTTTATGTTTTGAAGTTGTTTTCTTCCCTTTAAACACCTAGTTGCAGCTTTGTTTCTGATCACAAGGCTGTTTTCAATGGGTTTTATTAGGATGAACTATCTAAAAAATAGGGTTATTTAGCCCAGACTACAAAACTCAGCAGCAACAAGTTATCTGCTTCTGCTGTTTAAAAATAAGCTGTGCACTTTATCTTTTTGGTGCTTAAGGATGTTTCTTTTTTCTTTAATGGAGTCTTAGTTTTAGTGTACAGTGTCCGTGGCTTAACAAATGGATCAGATCACCTGTTGCAAAAGTGAGAACACATTTACAAAAAAATCTTTCTGTTTAAAACAAAAAAAATGTCATAGTTATTCATTTGTTACCTGAAACTACTCAGATTTCACATCTGAAACCTCCTTTGGAGTTGATAACAGCTCTCTTATTCTCTGATGTTTTTTCTGTGTTTTTGACTCTTTCTCTTATTCTTAATTTAAACACAGTTTCTAGCTGCTCCCACAGTTTTGCTTTAGATTAAACTCTTGTGTTATCAGCCTTTATATCTACTAAATCCTACATAGACTTATTGGGTCCTTTATCAGTTCCAGTATTCCAGATGTTTATGGTTTTTCGCAGGCTTCAGTAATGGCTTCTTAGCAGCTGTTTTCCTTTAAGTATTTTTTTAAGCAGTTGTCTGCATATGCTCAAGCAGACGGACCACACCGAGAGCACTTGATGTCTTTTCTTTTCTTTCAGAGACAGATCCAGCATCATTTAGTATTTAGTATAATTCACACTTTCTTTTGCAGTCAAATGACTCAGTAACTTTTCCATTTTCAATTAGTTAAAAATTCAAACCAATTTGTTTTTTAAAGTATATTTTAAAAATCTTTATATTGCACCCAAATCTCCGCTCACTTCAACCTCTAAAAGGATTTTTTGTGTCCAGTAATGTACATAAACAGTTTAACAACAAACTTTGAAAATGGATTGATAAATTACAATTATATTTTATATTTAACAGCTATCTTTTTGACTAAAATCCTTCTACATACTAATGTATTGACCTTTAGAGAAACAGACTTATTTTGGTAACTGCCAGTGCTTTTAATTTAGGCTGGCTGTGGCATAAATGTATCATTTCTAGTCCGCATTTTGAAAAAGGGGGTTGCAATAAAGGATTTCGAAAGTCGCTTAAATGATGAAAAAAATAAACAGCTGGTGGAACATCTTGTCAGTAGCTAGATTAATTGGAAGCCAGTGAAATCAAAAACAAAGTAGCTCAGAGAGGCGTTAAAATTCTTGATGGAATTTCTGAACGTGTGAGCCTGTGTTCCCTGATAACTGATGTTAGAAGCAGATATTCTCTCTGGCCCATTTATATTAATGCTTTATCTCTTTTCAAAGCAGAATCTTAAAGTCAGCAACATGCCTGGACTTATCAACAAAGAGACTCGCTGCGCTCTGCCACTCAGTGTGTCTGACATCACATCCTGCGTCAGGGGTTACACCCTGGCTCTGACCGCGTCTATGACCTACGAGAACATCGAGGATCATGCAATTGAGGGTAAGTGAAAGTACTTCAAACCATAACCACTTATATTCAGTTTAAGCCCATGTGATCTGAGAGCTGTTTTTGATTGAGTTTGTATCGACTGCAGACTAGTGATTGCTTCTCTGCTCTTTCAAGTTCTTGCCCTGTTTGTGTATTTACCTCTTAGGCATCTTCATTTATCCGTTGGAGGAAAATTCCATTGTTGTGGGGTTCGAGGCTATGATATCCAGCCAAATTATCACACTGCAAATAAAGGACAAAGCAAAAATTGAGGATTGCTATCTGGAAAGCTGCAACACGACCAATGGAGCTCCTCAGAGCGGTAGTGGTAAGACCGGAGCAACTCTGATCAATAATGTCATATTAGCGAGAGATCTAGAGTTTCTTTTACTGACACAACCATATTGATTGGTTTTACTCCTGCTCTGCAACCAGTTCCTATTGATAATGGACTCCTTGCTGTTAGTACCGTAACCCTAACCTCACAGCAAGAGGGTTCCCGGTTCGAGTCCCCAGTCCTTGCCCTGTGTCTGCGTGGGTTCTCTCCGGGTACTCTGGCTTCCTCCCCCTGTTAGAAATCATGCATGTTAGGTTAATTGGACGCTCCAAATTGCCCCTAGGAGTGACTGTGACTGCGTGTGGTTGTTTGTCTCTGTGTGCGCCCTGGACTGGCGGCCTGTTCCCCCCGCGACCCCGTTGGGAATAAGCAGGATGGATTGACTCTTTGCTAAGTAGCCTACGAAAGAGCAAGATTTCATTGGCCCGGTAGAGAGCCTGACATTGCATGAATATTCATATTGCAAAGCTTCAGAATAATTACATCAAACTAGCATAACTGATGGATCAAACTTTGAGTCAAGGTTATTTTGGACACATTTACAGTATATATGGAAACGATAAACAGGAGGTCGAAATAAAAGTAGTGTGGTTCAGTTTTTGTAGAGTTATGAGTTGGAGCAAACTGTTTTGACGTCACAAATTGGGCTGTAGGAGGAGGCTGGGAGAAGGAAAGAATGGACAATCGTAAGGACCGGAGAGTCAACACTGTCAAATACTACGTTAACATCTACAGGGATACTGTGATACCAGTGAGAAAGGTGCCAGAAAAAGAGACGCTTCCAGGACAGGGATGATGAAAAGTAGATGAGTCTACAAAATAAGCTTTAAAAGATTCTACGTTGAGCTAAGGTGCATCTCCCAGCACCAGGCCTCCTGAGCCTCTCCACATCTGGTAACCAACCCACTCCTGGCACCATCCCTATGCTACAATGTGAACGGCCACTCAAATGATGGAGGAGATGGGAGCTGAGCTCTGGAGACTGTGTTCAGGGAAGGTTTAAGGCCTTGATGGGGTCTGCCCAATACTTCTGAAGGATTGTGCAGGCCAAGGAGCAGTCCCTCTTCAGCCGGTTCTTCAATTCGAGCCTTCAGATATAAAGAAGTCCAGCATCTGTGGAAGTCCCCATGTTTTATACTGGTGCCCTAATGGAGACAGCTTATGAAACTGAATAACTACTTTAACATCTCACATATTGAAGACTCCTTGTAGACTCCTTGAGAATTGCAGGTTGTTGAAGATCTTGACCCTCTCCAGTTTGCCTATGACATAAAAGTGGAAGGTGCAATTCTGTACATTTTGCACTGGGTATATGCTTATCATATGCTTCATGATGTCTAATCATTGTTTAGGATGTAGAATATTTATAGTCGAGTGAATCATTTAACATTTAATATATAGTGGTATTAATCATATTATTTGTGGCTATTTAAATAAAACAAATCACACATATGGATTAACCTATGTTAGATAAATAAATCGCGTTAAGAGAAAGGGTTTATTTTGTAAACATATATTAGTTGCACTTACTTGATTGAAATATCTGTACCGGTTTCTGTTTATTCTTTGTAAGAATATTCATGTGTTTTAGGAAAGCAGTGATCCCAGAAGAGGTTGTTATTTTTATTTTAAAAAGGTGGTCATCCTGGGTTGCCCCTCCCTGATATCCCCCTGACTGTCAGACCACAGTATGTCAGGGTGTGTGTCTAGAATAATGGGATGCAGTAATGAGGCTCTACAGGGTACTGTTTTAGCTCCTTCTGTTTTTACCTTGTATACATAAAATTCAGCTACAACATAGCTGATATAGCTGTTGTGGTATGTGGACACTGTGTACAGAGGGTAGAATTCAGAGACCTTGTTGAGGTATTCAATGAAAGAACTGTCTCCTCCTTAACACTACCAAGACCAAAGAGCTCGTGGTATTTTTCCCCCCGTAAAATATGTCAGGAATTTGAAAAAAAAAAAGCCCAAATTCACAGGATATTATTTGGATCTTGGGTTGGTTTTTGACCCAGTGTCATAAGTAACAGTTGTCTACATTCAGGATGTATGCTGTGTAATCTGGTGGAACAGGACACATAGTGATGGATGAAGATTTTGAGACGACAGTGTTGGTGATTAACCTTGGGATCATCCCTCCAATGGAGACAGTCCATATCCTGGTCAGTACTTCCTCTGAGCTCACTACACTGCCTAACGGTGGCATCAGGGTCTCATCCCCACCAGTATGCACGCCTCGAGTGCAAAGGACGATCAACGAGGAGCAGGGCCTGTCGCCAAACTTCACCAGAACGTAAGTAAAGTATCGTAGAAAGTCATTAAAATCATAGAAAGAAACTATCTTTTTGTTATTAAACCACAATAAATCTGCGGTGTAAATTGAAAATCTTGGTTAAATGCAGTATTTTTTAATTGTCCTTATAAAAAATGACTACCAGAAGTTCTTGTGAATTAACTCAAGGTACTCCACCACTTTTAGGCGTGACAGACAGATCTGGGCCTCCAATTCCCATGATCAAAATACAAACTCTCCTCAGCTGTGGTTGGCTTGCCTGCTGGAGGAGGAGGTCATCAACTCCATGGACTATGAGTTTAACTTCCAGCTGGAAATACGAGCTCCTTATCTTCTTGCAGGTAAAATGATTGCTGTTCTGGCTAATGTCCTCTTCTCAAATAGTAATGCAGGCCCTTCAAAATTACCTCTGATTATATTGTGACTTCTTGTGATGATTAAAGTCAATTATTAAGTTAAGAACGACCGTCTCTGCATGATTGCATCAATATGTAAAGTATTCTTTAATTCAAAGTCTGTCTAATTTACAGCTTTGAGTGTAAATGCTGTTATTAGTGGAGGTGGAGCCCCTTGGTATTCGATCTCATGTGGGTACTGTTCTATGTAGGTGTAGAGAGCCCTTCTCATGCCATCCGAGCTGATGCAGACCCTCTGGCCCGCTCTGCCACCAACGTTGTCATCAGTCTGGCTGACAAGTACACTTACGACTACCCGGTTGAAATCCTCATCTACCCCAGTGGTATGTCTATAACTTCAAAACTAACTGTGGTGCACATACTCTAGCTGCGGTTGATTTTTCTCCCGATGACCGGCAAAATATTATGAAATTGTTTTTTTTTTATGAGCTCTTTCCATTATACAACATTTAGCCAGTAGTCAGATAAGCAGAGAAGTGACTCAGACTTATGTGTGTGAGAGCGTCTCATCTCGGGGGCGTAAAAAAAAGGCTTCTGGTTATCAATAGTGTGACATGCCAGAGGCCAGACTCCATAGCGTGGGTGTGCATTATCGAGGTTTTCTCCTCCGGTGCTCTTTTTTGTCCCCTACTGCTGTCTTGACCTACAGAATGTGTGGGCTGGTTTCTCCCAGAGGCCAGAATGAGCCCCCGGTCACACTGATGCGATTGCTCTTTTATGAGGGCTTTGTTCACAAGCAGACCTGTGGTCGGCGCAGGGCAATTTCATTCATTTTGGATTGGTGTTGGTGACCCAGTCACGACATGGATGGTCAGCTTGTGCAAAGAGATAGGAACGACTAAGATTGGGGAGACTTTTTTTCAAATCTTCTTTCTTCACAGCCACCACAAAACCGTTGCTGCTTAAGTTTTAAAGATATTTGAATAATTTACATTGTGGAATTGCACATCTTATATAGATATATTGCAGTCAGCTTATTATTCTCTTGCCACTAGCAATATTCATGGTAATGTCTTTGGTCTGAAAAACTATGGCACTTCAGAACCTCATCAGCCACATGTTCTCATTGAGAATGGCGACATGACGCAGGAAGAGTACGATGAGTATCTTCACAGCCGGAGTGATTTCATCAAAGCCACTAAGAAGGACTCCAGCAATGAGAGGAAAGTGAGTGTCGCCGGCATCACCTTCTGTCTACCTGAACTGATGAAAAGAATAATATATCCATTTCATTTGAAGAGAGAGTCACAAAAGCAATGTTCTGCAGCAAAGGCCATTTTATTAAACTACTTTGGGATATCTTATATTTAAGCAATCTACTAAAATTCCGCATCTTCAATTAGTTCACTACTGACTGGTATTTAGAATACTTTTGTTTATTTTAGCTATTTAATCTTTAGGCATATCACTTTGAATTTCTTCAGCTTTTGGAGAAGAAAGTGTACATTATTTGTGTGGAAAATTCAGCGTCCTTCTTCAAATACTCTTTTCTAACATATCATTGTGTTCCCTTCAAGTGTTGGATTGTTTTGTGAAACTTTGTATTCGTGTTTTGTTGTTTAACCTTTTGGAATATTTTCCACTCTGATGGTAAAGTTTTTTTTTTGTTTTTTTTTTACAAAAACAGTGCTAAAACCTTGAAAAATCATTAAGAGATTAACAAAATGAAAATGATAGATTTATTCATACACTCCATGTATTGTAATTTTTTAATATAAGAAAATGTATTCGAAGGATTACTTAATATTAGAAACTATCAGGAATTTTATTTATTTGCCGTTTCTAGTTCGGTTATTCAAAATGTACATAATTTAAACTTAGCCTACTAAACAATGTTTGAAATATAAATTAATATGAATTCATTTTTATTATTGTATAGGTAATTTATACAATGCAAATAATTTTCATCGACTCAACATTATCAAAGCTAAGATAGCAGTCGCTGCTAATCAATTAAGCCAGCTAGCTTTAGCTATAGCATCCTTTAGCAAAGCAAATGTACATCAATTACTAAGATATATATGGAGTGAAAAGTAAATTGCTTCCAACACAATTTGAGATAGCCAACCAATCTAAATCAGTTGTGTAACCATGTACTCCCAGTTTAAATAATTGTAGCATAATTCAATATACTCTGCAGTTCTCTTAAATATAACTTTTGACAAGATAAGTACTTTTTAAGTGGATTTGAACGTAAAATACTTTCATAATGCTTTATGTTTTTTGTTTTTTTTGCATGGCGTTATGTTTATTTTATGTGTTTCTGTGTGCATGTTATGGCATCAAAATTTTCACTAAATACATATCTAAAATTGAACATGGCCATTTCAGGTTGCTTCAACAACTTTTCATGCACTACAAGTGTACAACAAACATGTAGCGGAACGCTGTCTGTCCGTTCTCTTTGCTACTAAATTATCTGTTAGAGGTGGCTCATATTTAATATTAATTCATTTATTGATACATTTTCTATACCACTTTATCTTGTAAATAGTTTAAAATAATTCTTATACTTAGGACAAGAATAGAAGTTGTTTTGAAAGGCTAGTTTTGAACTCAAAATATAGCTTGGCTCAGTTGTGCTTGTAACTGAAATGGCTGCTCCTTATGACCTCATATGCTTATAGTCCAGGCAGACTGAAGATAGATTAAAACTGGCCTTTTCGGAGAGGTCTTAAGGCAGTTTGAAATTAAGGTGGAAGATTTTAAACAGAATTGACAAAAAGTGCTTTCATAATTGACATATTAGAACAGATTTGATGTTTTTAAGAATTGTATTTGCTTAAAGACTTACAATTTATGATCTCCACAAATAGATTTAAGAACCTGTAAAGTAACATCAAAATAAATAATTCTTTTACTTATTACATCCCTGTTTGTGTCCTCACACTGAGCCGTGATGAGGTATTTAAGTGACCAGTGGACCTAAACAGGAGAAGAAGAGGAAGCACTTTGCCATACAAATTGGTTTCTATGGAAACACTCCAAAGGCAAGGCAGATTCTGCTGGACATTTTCCTGGGGATCTAGAATAACTGATGTGTGTTGTTGTCTGGAACAATTTTATTGTCTCCCTGTTTGTCAAAGCCCCTGCATGGTAAATGCCTTTGCTCTGTCTTTATAGGTAGACATAATTCACAGGCGGCTGCACAAGGACATCCTCCACAACCCTGTGGTCATGTTGAACTTTTGTCCTGACCTCAAATCTGTCTGCTCTGACCTGAGAAAGGTCCACGGGGAATTTATCTTCCTTATTGACCGGAGTGGCAGCATGAGTGGGGTCAATATCAACCGTGTGAAGGTATTTACATCTCGCTTGTGCCCTGTTCTGCAAAGATGAAAACATGTTTTATATATATAAATATCCCAACACATGGCATATAACCTTTGATTTCTGTTTGGCTTGTTTATTTATTTAAAAAAATATATTTTAGGTGACATCAAGGATTATTCCTAATTCAAGTAAAAACATTTGACATGGGCTGAATAGCTTTTTATACTTGCGGTCATACTGAGATGTGTGGACATGGTCAGCTAGCTGGTGGAATGGTGTGTACACAGATATTGATCACACAAATTATTCACTGGTCACCAAGCATTTTGCAGTTGCTAGGCTTTAGGCAGTCTTTGTGATCCTATCTGAAGTCATGTGAACTTCCATCAATACTCGGAGTCGGAAATTGAAGATGGAATTCTTTCCCATTTTGGCTGTTTGTGTACTTATCGTATTCAGTTATGTGGGCTGATGTTCTCATGAAATGACACAATGTTTTTTATCGGTTTTGCAGATGCTAGAGTCTGTGTTTAAAGTCAGGGATCTTTTTAAGAACTATGTATCTTAAAAATTTTATAAAACTTGCTGTCAAATTCTCTCAATCTTTTTTCCTTAATGCACCAGCACAGACTAGACTATTTAATGCAGTCTAATAAATCGAAGCTAAAATAAGCTTTTTGCTACTGAGTTCCAACGGTCGCTGCTTGGCTTCTTAATTTGCTCTCGGTCTTGTTCTCAGGATGCCATGGTGGTTATTCTCAAGAGCCTGGTGCCTGGATGCCTTTTCAACATCATTGGCTTTGGATCCACATTTAAATCACTATTCTCAACCAGCCAGAACTATGAGGAGGTAAAGTAGTTCTGAATAATACAACTAGCTCACACTGTGCTCTCAGTGGACAGCTAGAACCTTTAAATTATTTGTCTGAATTTGTCTGAATGCTGATTGAAATGCACCAGCACCACATTTTGATCATATTAAGCCAAGACTGTAATTCCCGGCACTGGGGTCGACACATGTTTCTGAAAAAAATATTCTCTAACCTTCACAAGCCTAGCAACCTCAGCCAGAGTCTATTAACCAGTCTCTTTGTGAGCAGTCGTTTTGTCAAATATTCCAGTTCATAAAGGCACCAGAGTCTGCAGCATCACAAACTGAGAGGCACAACAAAAGAGGGGACACTAAGGATACCAATGAGCTCTCCAAACTGCATAGTCGGCAAACTTGTGATGAAATCACAATCAGGATTGGGTTGTAAAAAATAATCCAGACTTGTCTGGAACACTTTTGACCATCAAAACTATAGCCAGTGCAAAAACCCGACATCTTTCATTGTCCCAAGAATACTGTTCACACAGTTGCATTTCTAGTTTTACCATCATGCTGTGAGGACGTTTCTCATTCGCAAGAACCAAGAAATACATTAGAACTAAGAAAATATTAGATGGTTATGAATATACGGGAATACTTCAGGAAAAGGTTTATAATGGGAAAAATCTTCCCCTTCCAGCATGTCAATGACCTGAGGCACACTCAAAAAGCAACACTTGGGTTATTCAAGATTCAGTATTCAAAAAGCTTTATTTATCCTGAGGGAAACTGCTGTGCAACACTTGGGATACGGGGTGAAAATAGATAAATGAAACTAAAGTAGTCACTCATTGTTAAAGGTGACCAGTGATAAATTATAGCAGCTTAAAAATCAAGAAATAATTAATGTTTAGATGTGTTTGAATGGCCTATTTAATGTGCAGACTTAGGTTCACAGATGCACGCCATTGGAACCACTCATACTTAAAGCAGCTTTGCTTCAAAGAATGAAAAACCTTTACAACACAGTTTTCAAAGGCCCTATTGAGCCTTTTAAACTCCAACCTTCTTAGTTCATTGTCCTACATGATTGGACTCACAAAACATTTTTTCTGAAAACTAAACTGCTCATAGTATGATTAGGCCCACTTATATGATAATAATACTGTTACTTTATTGTCAAAGTGGAAAAAAAAGGAAACAAAAAAGGCTCCAATGTGAAAGATACTTACAGTTTTAAATTTCTTGCCATATTTATCCTCATGAATTAATAAAGCATGTCCCGCTTAGCAGTTTTACCACTTTATAGCTGATGTTTCACATAAAAGGATCTTGATCTGAAACGCAGTGTTTTTGCGTCAGCAGAGATAATTCACATGAACACATATTTCTGCTTTGGGTTTTCCCAAGAAAAAAACTGTTTGGATCCTTTTTTTTATTTTTTTCCTCTGGGATTTTTGAAACATTGCGTCAGAATTGCTTCAACCTTGACTCTCACTGTAACTTTTCGTCCTCATTGATCTAGGAGGCCCTGGCCGTGGCTTGTGAGTATGTCAGAAAGATCCGAGCTGATATGGGCGGGACCAACATCTTGGAACCGCTCACTTGGATCCTGAGGCAGGCGATGTTCAGTGGGCACCCCAGGCTGTTGTTCCTGCTCACAGACGGGGCTGTCAGCAACACGGGGAAGGTTATCGAGCTGGTCCGCAGCCATGCACGCTACATCAGGCAAGTGCACATTCAGAGTTAGAGTGAGTGACATTATTAGGACCATTGCCAATAAACATCTGTTGTCAAACACTGACGCTATATGTGTTCCCTCAATGGAGGAAGACGCTGTATTTGCTTGCTTTCAAAGATCTGTAAGACCTCAGTGGCAGAACATATTGTATATGTTGTGTAAAAGTAAATGTTAATGAATTCATCGTGGGATAATAACAATACTAAATGGCATCCGAGGCTTGTCTTGGGCTTTAAATGCAACTCCCTGCTATGGAGCTGTAATCCTCTCAAAATGAAATCCGGAAAGATGTAGCTTGTCGTGTCGGGATCAAACATTAGGTATCACTAGAGAGAATCTAGCAGGAGCACAACATTTCTCACAGCCATATTGAGATGGCAGAAACTCTTACAAAGCTGTGTTGAAGCTAAGAGAAATACAAAAACAGCATGTTAGCAACAGCTGTCAACTTAGAAGGAGCATCCATGGCACAACAAATCTCCAGTGCTCTGGGAAATCATTCTCTTTTTCCGCTTAGGTCTCAACCTCACACTGTGAAATCCCCATCCAGAGTGACTCTGGAAATAATTGACTTTTGTCTTCCCCCTTTTAATGGATGACTGCCCCCAGATAATTGCATTAGATGGAAAGAGCTCGGCCAAATCATCAACACTTCACTTCCTGGGTCATTATCACACCATGCTTACAAATCACCGCAGCCAGAGACCAGATCAAACAGGGATTCATCTCGGTTCGGAATATCCACTCTCCGCTTTTAACTATATCCCTCTACTTTCTCAGTTTTTTTAGTTTGTGCCATTTTATCTAACTGAAAAGTAAAAGACACATATTTTTGTCTTTTCTTTATTATTTGTCTGTGAAGTGCATACAGTGAAGCCACTGTCTTGTGATTTGTGTATTTGTGCAGATGTTTTACATTCGGCATCGGGCAGAATGCCTGCAGGAGGCTGGTGCAGGGACTGGCGACCGTTTCCAAAGGCACAGCAGAGTTTCTGACTGACGGAGAGCGAGTGCAGCCTAAGGTACTCATTTCCAGCCATGAGTGTCACTCCTAATGACAGCAGGCTATTCTGAGGGCCAGTGAAGGGCCATTATGCAGCGGTTTCAAAGCTTTGAGTGTCCGCTACTGATACCAATTAAGAAATCACATCTCCCAGAAACACACTTTGCTTTATGCACTGCGCAGAGACAAGCTGTGTTTTCCATCCGCTTTATTCCACAGATGATAAAGTCGCTGAAGAAAACCATGTCTCCCGTCCTCAGTGACATTTCCATCGAATGGCTCTTTCCCGAAACCAAAGAGGTGCTGCTCTCTCCTGTCGGCAACACCTTCCTCTTTCCAGGGGACCGTCTGATTGGCTACAGCGTGGTTTGCGACACCACCCGTTACCACGACAACCCAAAATCTGTAAGACACCTCCAGAAAAGGAACAATTAATTGCAAGTGTGTGTTTAAAAAAAAAAAGGAACCTTTTCTGTTTGATGAAGAAGTCTAATCATCACACAAATCACTGTTCTGCCCCCTCAGAGATATATTGGATGTAAATCCCTGGCGAGATTATAAACAAGACACTTTAAAATAATCAAATCATTCAAACCGTTTGAATAAAAGTACCACTTGCGTACTTAACAGGATAAGAGGAGGCGGTACAGTATGATGCGCTCCTTGGAGTCAGCCAGCTCAGTGTTTTACCAATCCCAAGAGGAGGAGTCGGGGAAGATGGCCGTGGACAGTCAGGGGGGCCTCGCAGACGCGCCATCCGGCGGCCTGTACGACTCCTACCACGACTCCATGATAAACATCAGTCCTGTCATTGCGGAGTCAGACCTCCTGGGTAAGAATCCAGTCGAGTTGTATCTAGTTTTCTTACTCTTTTCAGTTGTTTTTTTTTCCCTTCGCTGTTGGAAAGTTGAGTTAATCAGCCTTCTTTTGCAATCAGTACCTTCTAAATTGGTGTATTTGGTACCAAAATACAGTGGGTTCAATACTGAGACTATTGAATTTGGTGGTTTTTTTCGTAGATTTTCATACAGCCCTACATTTAATCCCTTATTGTGGCCACTGTGATGATGATGATGTGTTGTTGTTAGGATTTTGTGTAAAAAAGTCTGGGTTATTTTATGATATTTTGATTTATAGAATTCTGATTTTTCCCCAAAGTTTATAGCTCCGGTTATCTTTTTTTTTTACCTGTGTTTTGTTTTTAGGTGATCTTTGTCTTGTTTCTGTTCTTATTTTGTTTTCCTTTATCTTGACCATAGTTTCTGGTCATCACCCAAAGTATGTGTCCAGTTTGCTAATTATCTCCATTCCTGAGTCCTCGAGGGGCTCTGTCCTGCGGGTTTTAGATGTTTTGCTGCTACTACGCATCTGTTCTGATTAAATAGATCTCTTAAAAACATTGCTAATCTCTGCACAGATATGCTAATGGTGCAGTGATGAAAATCAGAATTGTTGAAGCTGGGAAACATCTAATACCAGTAGGACAGCGGCCCGTAAGGACCCAAGTTCGACACCTGTACCCTTCTCCCATTGGCTATGATCTTTGTTGTTACCAACCTCCACTGTATTTAAACTCTTCGGTTTGTGTCATTCTTTGCCAGATCCTCATTGTAAGTTGCTGCATCTGTATCTGTAATCTGTAATTGTGGTTTCCTGTTTTCCATTTTAATGTTTTTTTTAATGTTATGCTTAGTATTTTGGTTTTAGCAGTTTAGCCTTTTGTTATCTGGCTCTGCGGCATTATTTTTATTGTAAAGTAATTTTGCACCTGTCCTTTCTTGTTCATGACAGGACTCCTCCACAATCCATCCTGCACCATGACAGTTTGGTGAAAAAGCTACTGTCCATAAACCGTCACGTAGACAGATTTTTCAGCTTTCAGTGTAAAAGTAACCTTGCTAACATAGTTTTTTTTGTCTTTGAAATTACAAAAAGAATGTTGTGGATGGGAATTTATGCTTTGAATACATCTTGTACTCTCAACAAGCCAGGGTTGGATGTGTTTGCTCTAAAGGATTTATAGAACAACATTAACTACCTACAGTTTGGCCTCTTCTATTAGAGAAAAGAGTAGAACGATTTTAGACACTTGGTGTGTTTCTATTTTCTTGAAAGATAGTTGAACTGAGATGCTCTTTTTATCTCTGGCTGTGATAATAGAAAAATCAGATTATGGCAGTTTACGCCGCCGGTCCAAAAGATGCTAAATAAAATCAGAAATGGATTCCATTCACAAGGGACGGCACATTTTCCCAGTTAAAATACCCAAGGACACGGCCTTTCAGTTTGTTATCTTGCATCATCTGTGAATCAGTGATTTCCATTTTTTTCCTGGGGAAAAAAACAGCCAGAGTGGGACTTTAAAACATTTCCAGATCAGGCAAAGCAAAAAGGAAACAGTCAAAATAAAGATCGGAAAATCTGTGTATGTGTAGACAACAAGCAACTGTAGAAGTTTTCCCAAATTTATTTATTTGTCAAATGTTAGACCTTAGTCTAAATGAATGATATTTTAAGCAAAATAATGCATTTATAAGATGTGTAATCAAGCACTTTATGTATGAGAGATTGCGCTGTCCTTTCAGCAAAGACAAAAGATGATAAAGGAGTCACAAAGGATTAAGGATCTTTTTTTTTCCAAATCTTTCTCTATTTTTTACTTTAATATCGACAACTGGTTTAGATGAGACGTCACCGCGGAGGCGTGCCTACAGCACCAACCAGATCGCAGACTACAACCCGGCGAAGAAAGCATACACTCCCAGCGACCCCACCTCTGTGGTCCCCAAGAATCCACTCAGGAGAAGCAAAGTGCAGGAGCTGATATGCCAGATGAGCCCCGAACACGAAGTGCAGTGGAAGAATGACTTCCAGGTGCTCCTCCATTTTGTGGACACTGTTCGCAGTTATTATTTTCAGGTGCTGTTTCCAATTAAGCTCCTGATGGGTGCTTAAGATGCAGGGCACGTTTACATGCTAAATAAATCCCTGTCTCTAGTAGACAGAGTTAAGAACATAGTCATTTGTGTAATGAAAGCGTTGTCCAACTCTTATGGGAAATCGTATGTGAATTCAGGTTGTGTTGCCACATTACACAACCAACTGACCCTCATTTATACTGGAGTGTAATCAAGGATGAGCTAAATATGACGTACTCAATAATTAAAGGATAAATTAGTAAACTCCAATCAGGTTTAAATGTAACTCAGGGAGCATTATGGTGTCCAAACAGAATTACGAGGCGGAAATTATATCTGCTTTTCTAAATCCGGCTCAAGATCCATTACATCCTTGCTCAAGTAATTTAAATAGAGAGCGAAATGAACTCACTATTGGAATTAAATGAGTATGACATGAGAAATTGTGAAGTGGGGGCTGTTTTACATCTCTGGCAGGATAAGATATGATTATTTTATTTTCTTTTAATGTTTTTTCTTTTCTTTTCATTTTTACACACGGTAGGCACTTGTAGCTTGTTGTGATGATAATCAGATAAGATAAAACCCTCTTGGGCCATAAACATGGGTGTTTGTTCACTTTTTTTTGTTTTCAGCCACAGCTGGCCAGCCTGTGTGCCGCATCTCTCAAAGGACAACCCGCCAGCCATCATAAGCCCCTTACTCAGCAGGAGTTGCCTCTGCAGCAGGAAGAGGACTCTGGGGGTAATTTCCAGGCACAGCAACAATTCACCCCTCAGGCCGGTGACGGCAACATGCCGCCTGCTGTGAGAAACCATGTCGGGGAAGATGGCTCCAGGTCATCCACAGACAGCCCTTCTGTCGGCAGCATTGGAGACACAGGTGAGGACACAATAGCCGTGAAAAACATCTTCTATCAAAGAAATTCAACATTTCAAAGTTAGTCGGCGTTAGTTGAAATCTTTTTTTTTCAATGTGTGATGGGCCTCTCATTCGGCCTGAGTCGAAAACAGGGCTGCCGTCTTAAAAGCCAACATATTGTTTTAAGGGGAAGATTTTCCAGCGAGAAAGTGGTGATCAGAGCAGAATTGTCTCAGAAATTGGTTGCCACATCCGGTTTGCAATACGTCTTGTGCTTGAAAAGCTGTCAACACAGAAAGTCACAACAACTACTGGGACATACCTGCGCTGTGTGTGTCCAGCACCAGGGACCGCCCAATGAAGATGTCAAACTGCTCATAGGCCCCCTCACTCATTTACCAACTGGGGTATTCAGATGTGTTATTTTCCCTTTTGTTACTGAAAGAAAACATTGTCCCGTGTCTATTGACTCCCCCTACACTTATAATCTATTCACTGCCAGCTAAATTAAGGCCAGACAGCTGTGATGATCTAGATTCGGACCATGAGGAACCAATATCTTAATGAGAAATATAGCTTAAGTTTGCATAAAACGTATTACAGTAAATTTTAATTAGCATCATCATTATGTAAGTATGTAATATATACGGTATATACTCACGTTTAGTTTAACCAACATTTAGTGATTTTGGGGGTTTGTTCATCTGCGAGCCATTTCTAAACATTGTGAGGCTGTTGCTGAAAATCCTAATTTTCAAAGCCTTGTGCGATGAAAACTCCACCTACACTTGAATGAAAGGCAGTGTCTATCTAGTTATTTTACCTATTTTCCAATGTACAATGATAAATCTAAGAGATATTTGGCAGAATCTCTTCAACACTGGGAGAAAATGTGCACATTATCAGTTTGAGGTTTGTCTTTACATAATTCTGAAGGTGTCTCAAAGTCAGAGTCTGACTACCCTGTACTTTTGCTGTAAAGAATAAATTAATAAATTAATTAAAAAGATTAAAAGCTTTACCTGGTCGGTAAATGCTAACTTCTTGTTTCTATATGTAATATCTGTGCATATTCAGATGTCCCCATTCACTGAATGGAGAAAATTGTAGTTATAACCCAGTGCCCATTAGCCACTATTTCAACATGTCACTAAGCATAGGCTTTTATGACACAAATGGACATGAATTATTTGTCAATATATACAATTAACCCCGATCTAGATAAACATCCAGTAAAAATCTAAAAGGAAAATAAAGGATGATGACAAGATAACAAGCATAGACTCAAAAGAACAAGATTTTTTCCTTGTATTTTTAGATGAAAAAGAAAATGGTCTCAGAGATGAATAAAAATAAGTTGCTTTAAAAAAAATACTATTTGAGACTCCACAGTGCTCAAAACCAGAACATTTTTTTTCCAAATGGTTTTCCAATAACTGATCTCAAAAAAATTAAATAAAAAGGAAAAATCTAACCAACATAAACATTCATAAAAACTGACTAAACACGTACAACCAATCTTTTCGGTACTGCGTTGTACAAAAATGCTTTGCGTAACTGAACATCAGTCATATTCCTGGACAACCGAAACAACCCGCGTTTTTAGCCACGGACAGTCGGCCGAGAAGAGACGGCTGGACTTAAAATGAACTTTCAGGAATCATGTCTTGTACCTGTGATGTTTCAGATGGATACGGACACCAGTTATGTCAAGCAGAAACCCCACAGGAGACTCACGTGGCAGAACTCGGCACTGCTAATCAGCACAAAGCCGACTGCAAGGCAGTCGTGTCGGGACTGCTGTGTGGGAAACCAATGAAGTGGGAAGTGGTCTTTGACGTCAATCCCTTTCTAAATGGCCGGGAACGTGAGGAAAAAGTGCACGAGGAGCTGTGGAATGAAACCTTCCACCACCTGGCCGGACATTCCATCATACAAGACTTTGAGAACATGGCTGAGAAAGAGTGTGAGATAGAACATGGTAAGTCGAGAAATTGTTGCATTCATGGTGGTTATAATATTTTCATTTACAACTAAAAAGCATATATTGGCCATTTACTGTATTCACTTTCTCACATTGAGTTGTTAGAACTTATTCCACTTTCTTTCCATGAAACACCAAGCTATTTATCTTTGCCTAGCATTAGAAGTGGAAACTGCTTGATTAAGTTAGCCCAACCCTATCTTTTTACCCCCTGGAGTAAAAAAAAGATGGATATTACAGCTACTGCTGAGATTTATGGGAGTTATGTGGGATTAACTGATTTAGTAACAGGCGAATATAACTCTGTCCCCCTGCTTAAAGCTTTTATGCCAGGCTAAGGTTTCTAAAATGTACTTTCTAAAAGTTCTAACAGTCTTGTCAGCCTTATCCAGCACTCCCATTTCATGTACACTGGTAAAATACATTATCCATCACTAAAACAGGCCTGAACAATGGACTGATTGATTCCGCATGACTTTGATCCTGCAGACTTACATAAAGGCTGTGCGTATACAGCACCAAGGCCTACCCTGTAAGTCCACAAAGTTACAAAGTGAATCGGGTTTGTTTGTTCAGCACATTGAAAGGAAACTTGTCTGGAGGGAGACTTGGAGAATCGACTCCCGGAACATTTCTGCCGTGTGGCAGCATTTTCTTGTTAAAAGAGGCCATTGCTGTCATTGAATAGTGTTTCCAACACATGGCAGGCAGTACCTTTTGAAGTATCATCAGCTTGAATGTAAAAACACAAGGCTTTCCAGTGGAACATGCAAATAATATACCTGAATATGTATTTTATCAGACCTGGGTATCTTCTTTCCATTGTTCGATTGTTCCTAAATCAGACGATGGACTTACATTTAACCTCCATGTGTGCCACTCAGCCTTTTCATTCCTATGACGTCTTTTTTTCTGATTTGAACTACATCAGGCGTACAACATTAAAATGCTGTGACCCAGCTGTTTAGTTATCGGAAATATGCCTTTGTTAAAGTTGTTCAAATCCCTTTTTAATATTTTCATTATATCTGCTTCCAACACTTGGATTTTAATGAGATTTTTTGTGACAACCTTCGATATTGATGTGAAAAAAATGTATTTTTGAGTAATCTATTTGTGATTTGTATATACTATTATTTATTCCATAATATTGGTTAAACATTCTTACAAATTATATTATATTATATTATATTATATTATATTATATTATATTATATTATATTAT